GGTCTAACTGCATATCATGGCTTTCTATAATACTATATGAAGGAATGACAATCAAGAAGCCAAAAAAATCATCTGAAATGCATCAGAACAGAAGAATCGGACCTAAGCCTTAAATGCACAAATGTGAGACAAACTGGAGACAAGCCAGGACACAAGCAGAATGATTTCAAGTTAGCTTTCACCCCATCCTCAGGGGATTAATGAGATGGTATAGGTGAGAAGGTGTGCAATGAAAGTCCAGACAGGTATATACTTTCACAAAGCACTACCAGGGTTTCTACGACACCAGGACAGTTTTCTCAGTGATGCACGGGATCTTTTTGAGTCCTTCCCTAACTCAGCTGCCCGCTGAACTCACTGCCCAGTGCTGCCACCATGGGAAGGGGAGACGGGTCAGCTGCAGTACTACCAGTAACAACTGCTCACAAACATTGCCCTTTACAAGGAAGATGTGCTCCTTCTGCGTTACAAGGCAAGGCAGCAAACACGTAGTGAACGCTCACTGTGTGCCAGGCACTGTGCTAAGCCCTAGGGATACAAATACAGGCAAAAAGAAAGACACAGGAATTGCAAAGTGTTCTTGCTAAGAGACACAGAGTGGGCAGAAAGGGGAGAGGGAATCTGGGTTTGAGTCCCACCTCCCTGGCCCAGGCAGCTCGCTCTTAAGCTTCGGTTTCCTCAGCCAGACAATGTGGGTAGTAACAACACTTGCTTCACAGGATTTGGTAGAGAGTCAAAGTGGAATAAAGTAAATAAGGATCTTAGTAAATCACAAAGCACCCAAAATTCTACGGGTTTTTGTTGCTGTTGCTATAACTGGTATTAGAGTTACTTTTAAATGAAGGCATCTCTTCAATTGCCTATTAGTATTACAGTCGATTATGTCTAAAGAAAAACAACCAAGTGGTATCTTTAAGGTGGAAGGTTAAGGTCACCTGGGATACTTTGACCTTGGGGAAACTAAAGGCAGTACAGTGCAGAGGAAACAGTAATGAGAAGAAAGAGGAAGAGAAGGAAGGGGAGGAAGAGGAAGAGAAAGAAGAGGAGGAGAAGAAGAAGAAATGATGATAATAATAGGAGTGTAGAGAGAATCCTAAGGCTTTACAGCATCTTATGTGCATGGCAATATCATCTGAGTAACAATAACTCTAGAAGCCGAATTTGGCAGATATTATCTTCATGCTCTCCTTTAAAACATCAACAACAACTAAGATTCATAAGGAGATCTGGCTTCCCAAACTGCTTTAAAAATTAGCAAAGGCATCAATGAAAGAGTATAATCTTATTTGCTTCATTTTTCCAAAGATTAAAAAAAAATCCTCCAAATTAAAACTACTTCCACTTAGACACACATATACACACATCTGTACACAGCTGTTTGGGTAGCTTTAATTCCCTCCCACACCCGCTAATGACAATTGTCAGAAATCCCAGGGGGGCCACAGCAATTCAGTGGCCCACAGACAGTCATCTACTCCCATCCTCTAGACAAGTCCTTAAAAAGTCTGACCTCTCACCCAATGGAGCTCCCTCAATTCAGAATCTTTTCTACCATCTGATTACCTTAGCAGAAGTTCAAATGGGGCAGTTAGGGGAAGAAAAAAAAAAAACCTCAAGAAAGTTCTCGGTTGAGTGCCTACTAATGAACAAAGGTTAACTTTATCTGAAAGGTCACATGCCTGGTGGCTAAGGTGATGACCTTAACAACTGAAATTGTGACCTTGCCACGTGCCGGGGATATTGTAGATTCTGATACAGATCATGTGCTAAAGGACTAGTCTGGCCATAAATTAGCTTTGACTCCCACAAAGAAGACTGTGGATTATGCTATGCTCATATCTTCAAGTTGCTATACAAACGGTCCACAGAACTCCAACGAAGCCTAAACCAAGGGTCTTAAAAATACTTCCATTCTATGAGTTGGAATGCCAGCCCTCACAGTAAGCGCTCAAATTTCACTACATTTTGGTTTTCTTAAAAAGAAAAAAATACATCAAATTCACATTACTCCGTTTCTCGTCGTCAAGAAAAAAAAATTGGCACCAAGATCCTGTATTGTACTTTGCAGCATCCAAATGCGTCTGAGAAAGAATAAAACATTGTTCCTTTAATAAGATAATTGAATCTGCATTAGCAGAAGCATTCTTCAAGTATTTACACGTGTGTTCTCTCAAAGATTACAATTTCCGACCAAAGAAAAGGCCTGAGAGCTAAGCAACAATTACCGCGTCCATTTTAGGAGGCACAGAGTATGTTGCTGTTGAAGTCATCGAGAAAAAGGCATTTTTGGAACCAGATACTCAATTTTTTTTTTAAAGGGAGAGAGAGAGGGAGATAAAAAAATAAATAAATAAATAAGTGCTTTGGATAAAAAGGCCACAATTGTCTTGGCATATAGCTCAAGGCACGTTTCAGAATCTGTGCCTCCTGCCAATACTGGCAAGTTCTCAAAACTTTTAAGGAGGTAAAAACATTGTTTAGTGTTTACAAATCTTCAGTATTCTAGCAGATGCTTGTCAAATCAGTTATATGTAAGTTGACCAACCTACCTAATATTTGAATTGGCAACTTCCCTTCCATAAATTACAGGTCTCGGACTCTCTTAGATCCAGCCTAAAACGTTTTCAGACAAAGGGCCCTTAATATTTTCTTTTGCAATGCTCCTGTCGCTCACACAGCAGAAGCCGCCATGACTGCAGGCCCGTATGAACCAATGGCCGCCGAGTTGGCCACTGTTCAGGCATTGCCAAGGATTCTGGGATACATCAAGAAAACCAAATCGAAAGGTAGCCCGATCTGTGATGTTTCCAATCAATCTTCCAGAGGCCTTCAGGGTGTGACTCAACCTACTCAGAAGATTCTAAATGTCATTTTACAAACGTATTCTCCCCTTACCCCTAACACACACACACACACACACACACACACACACACACACACACACACACACACACGCTACTGCCCTACCTAGATGCGGATCTGCGGGCAAATATGTTAGCAGAGTCCATTGGAACAATGATATCATGGAAAAGAGTCAGTAAGCAGCACATAAAGAATAGGAAGAACTTGGATAAGCTTAGTGTTTTTAACTCCAGGAGAATATTTAATTTCTTGAATGTTTGAGGTACGTACCAAGTTTAACCCACTGCTCTCTTATTTGGAAGGATGTATATCAAAATCAATTTCACCTGTTGGCAAACTCCAATCTCTAAGTTGGCCAAACCAAAGAATTTATTAGATTTTTAAAAATCTCTAACAGGTGACCACAAGACAAGATAGGTCATGGTAATTGGAGACCATGGTGGAACCAAGTCTATTTTTTTCCCCCCACAGGGGAACGAGTGAAATGAGGGAAACTTGTTTTTTTCTACCATCATCTCCATAGTGACATGTACATACAAAGAGATTTAAAATTATACTCTGGCAATATTTGGGCTTTTTAAAGTTAAAAACACCTGGGTTTTGCTAAAGAGACCATCTTGGAATACCTACTTTTTAATTTATGCTACCTCATACTGGCCAAAGCATATACACACTTTCCATTTTACCAAGAAATCTTTGATAATGTAACTATCACGACAACTTAGAGCTGACACTCTGGGAAATATTCACCTCCCCTACATCAATACTTGCTGGGTCCAAAAAATCACAGGACTGGCATGCCAAGTCCCTCCAGAGTCCCATGAAGGAAGGACCTGAAGGCATTCAATAGTTACATTCCCAAAGTATACACTGACATTCTCCTGTGACCTGACGACTCCTCAAAAAAAAATTTCATATTTCTGTAGGTCGCCAAAAGTCCCCGAAAAATAGTATAGTGTGGGTCTTCTGGTTAGTTTTTTCTATATTCCTCAGGAAAATAAATGAATAGGTAAGTAAATAAATGAAATATAAAAATAAATAAATGGATAGAGTAGATGGATGGATGGATAGACAGACAGACAGACAGACAGACAGATAGATAGATGGATAAAATAACCAACTGGTAAGATTCCACAACTTTCATTCTTCCATGTGGCTCAAGTAACCGCTATGACGGTAATCTAGCAAGACCGGTATGTACATATGAAAAGTCAACAAATTACACAAGACTTGAGCTTTCACATAACACAATGTACCTTTTGTCTAAACCAAGACTAAAGGAGGATATACAAATGCATTATTTCATGCAACTCTCAATCCGTTCCCTTCAAGCTGCCTCGCAAGATCTCCAGCAGATTCTCTAGCAAATCATTCTTTTTTTCCCCCCCGAAAGGAGTCTGTAAAAGACAACACTGACTCATTCCCTTTTTGAACCAATCCGAGTTGAATCAATCCCCAGCCTCAGGACGGTCCGCACTGCACAGACTGGTTCCTTTTGACATCAGCTTCTCTGTCAATTCCTCATAAGAATATTTGTCGCCCAACTCCTTTAAATACTAAGCTCTCCAATGCACACAGCTCCCAAATGGCTATACTCATGATATTTTTCCAGTGTAAAAGAACCGTAATTTGATAGGTTATGACTCAACTTTTCTTTTTTTTTTAATTGGCAGAATGGGCTTCAGAAAGTTCTCTCACAGAAGTACTAAGAATTTGTCCTCAGTAACAAACTCATGTGCTTTTTAAACCTGTCCCTTTGCTACTTCAAATACGCCCTTTGTTAGTTCTTCCCCATCTTTGCTTGTTTTGGTCAACAGCACTGAGTGTGTTTTGGACGTACCTACAGGAAGCCAACCTGCTTTCCTAACTACTTACCAACAGAACTCATGAGCATGAGTACTCACTCAAGGCTACGGTTTCCCACCTAAATGAAGGGTAGGTATGGCTGCTGAAGCTTTTCTGTTCTGGTCTGGGCCTTTCTTTGAGGCCCTCCTGCCTGCCCTACACATGCGGCGGGCTCCTCAGCAAGCTCAGAAAAACATTTGCAGAGCTGGCTGTCATTAGTATAACAGAAAAATATATGAGTAAGAAAATTTTTAAGTAACAGTAGAACAATATTTGGCTGCCACCACACTTACCTGCTGCGTGCACAAAATATGCCAAATATAAATCGAGTTCCTTAACAGAAACTCCTATGTGATGGGGCTGGACACACAGCCCTGGATTTGAGCATTGTGGGGACTTTACAAGGCGCTCTCCGTCAGTACTTTCGAGTGGAATACCTTTAAATAAAATCACCATCACAAGGTCCAACCTCCAGACTTTATCTGCCTGACGAAGACAGTCAATTCTTCGCATCTTGCCTTTCTGGTCTGGATTAGAAAGAACACAACATGGAGGCTTTTTCCCCGTAACAGTGAGAACAAAATCCTCGCGATACTCAGGTCGGATGTCTTTCCGTAATTTGGCCAGAAGTCTGGATGCCCATTTCTGTTTGACTTCAGGTTTCTCACTTAGCAACTCATCCTTCACTGCTCTCTCTTCCTCTTTTGACATGCGCTTCTCGTGTTTTTTAAAGTATTTCCGTTTTCGGGCTTGCAGGTTGAACCACGTGTACGCGAACGCTCGGACGTGGGGTAGAAGTGCTTCAATGAAGGGATGAAATTCATCCTGAGGAAGAGAATATTAAAAATATAAATGTGTATCTGTATCTGTGAACACAATGGAAACCAAAGAAAAAACACTTTTCCTTAAGAAAACAGTCACATTTTAAATGAAATTGCAGTTAGACATCCTCTGTATGGAGACTCCAGAAGTTTTCTAAAGGAAGGAGCCATAGGGAAACAAGTCCAGTATCACAACCCTACCAGAAAAAGAATTGAAAGGCTAAGTTAAAGAACATTTATTAACATTTATTCAGCATCACTGTTCAACGGGTCTTGTTAGTGAGTGAGGCCTAGTGTCCAAATTTATCCGAGATGGCCAATGGAAGACAAATTTACCCAGGGGAAGACAAACAGCCTTAGGTTAATCTTAGCTGGGTTTCAAAGCAGGCATATCTAACTTTGCTCTAGCTTTGACCCCACTACTTGTGGGGTAGCCAGGGCATGCCCGCCAGTTTGGCAAATCCAGAATCTTTATCTGCCAATCAATGTTTGTCCGTAGAAGTCCAAGTCAAGGCAGAGTAAAAATTTTCTCCGAGATAGATTTAGCAATGGCAATCAGTCATACTAGAAAGTGTCTCTCTGAGAGGCTTTACAGAGAGCTTTGAGACTCCGTGTAATTCATATTTATTATATTTTAATATTCCTTTTGAATGTCAAAAAGAGATAAAGCTATCCCCAAAAAATAGAAAAAAAAATCAGGAAATTTGGGCAGGTCCCCTTCAAAAGAAGATACAAATTATTACCTTTTATGTCTCTCTGACCAAAAAAGAATATGTCAAAAAACTAATGTCCTGACTACATAACATTTGGAGTAGATAATGAAAAAGGGGGGGTGGGGTAGTGTTGAGAAAGACGTACTTGTAAATAGAAAATCTGAAAGCCTCTTCATGACCAGAGAGGTTATAAATAGGTTTTATTTTATTTTATTTTATGTATGCAAAGAAGAAGAATGATTTGCTTTTAGTAAAAGAAATATTTCAGGTAGTCTTGCTAGGAATTGAAAAAGTCAGTGTTTTTCAAGTTTAGGATATTTTGATAAATATACTGTTAAAAGTAAAAGGCTATACATTTAAGTTTTATAAAGTACCAAACAAGTAAGTTGAATTTAATAGAGTATGATTAAATGTGTTATTTTATAACACCAATTAATTCAGTGACAATACTTGATATCTTCCAAGAAAATAAACCTGTAAGATATATAGAAGTAGAACCTACAGAAGGCTTTCCGAAACCACAGAATGCTTCCTTAATATACGGCTGTTCTCAAATGACTCCATCAAAAAATTTTTTCTTAAATAAAATAATGTATTTACTTTCAAACAAGTAAGGATTAAAATACACACACACAGAAAGAGTGTCTTGGTTGTACCAGTGGGGAAGAGGGGCACACTAATGTTCTAAAATATGCTTTCATTTTAAAATATGCTTTCTAATGTTCCTCTAAAGGAATATATATTTCAAAGTCCCAAGCAATTAGACATCCCCCCAACACACACACACACACACACAAACATACTGTCATCAATGTGCAAATATTACCTTAGCTTCATAATCTAATCAACACGTGCCCTTTATAGGCCAACAGGTTAAAATTCATATATATGTTTGTTGGTGGGTAGAGTTAGGGTTAAAGAAAATGCTAGGCACTGTGATGAAGGAAAATTAGCCAAGCTAGTACAAAACTAGTCCTAAGTATAAATGAGTATTAATAGGATATTTATCAAATAAATCATTTCGGCCAGGGGCACCTAATTTTTTCCACTTCTGGGCAAGCTGGGCCTGTATTTCCCGTAAGTTTTGAGAAATGTTCTCTTTTCAGTAAGAAATTTTTTTAAGAGTAGAGGCAGGCAAAATATATGTGCCTGCTCTCGGTGGCAGAAAAATAGCTGGACAGAGCCCTATCTATAGTAAGAGCAGCACACGAAATCATTAAAAAACAAAACAAAACACCAAAATGTTTCTGATGCTTGAGAGACTTCAGTTCATTGCTCTTATAAAAGCCCCTTTCCTTCCCTTCTTTCTCTTTTGAAGTTAAAGTCATCAACTAAGGTACACTCAGACTCATATAAAAGTTCTACCTCCAATAGCAATATATTTAAACATCCCTAAATTCTGGACACATATTCTGAAAAAAACTCTGAACTATCTAAATCATATGCCTAATACAGTGTTTCCCACTGGCGGACTTTCTCATAGCCAGGACGTGTTGGGACCAAAGCTCGCTGCTATTCTGGAAGCAAGAACTCAGTCTGCTTTAAGCTCCAAAGTGAGCTTTCTCACACACACACACACACACACACACACACACACACACACACCCCTCCACTTTAAAGATTTCAGTCCCATTTCATTTTATAGGGCAAAGAATAACTTAGCTCCAAGCAATTCATAGCTTATGGTAAAGCTCAGTGAAAAGCATGATTAATCATAAAAACATTTTACAATATTCTGAAGTGACTTTTAAATGGGAAATGACAATATGACCTAAGTGTGTGGAGCTCCCTGGTCACTTTCCAATCATCCCTACCTGCGCATACAACCCACTTCCATATCAGCATACACTGACTGGAAAGTACTATAGACATGTTTTTACTAGTTATTAAAATTGAATTTGCCCCTTAGTTTTATATCAAAAGTACTTGGATTTTATTTCCCCTCAAAGGCCTCAAAGTGGTTTTGTTTTGCCTGGGTTCATTCACAAAATCACAAAGTTAAAAAAAAATTTTAAATCCATCTTGTCTCATGTAAGGTTTAGAAAATATACAAAAGACACAAAGGTTAAAACGTTCTCTTTACAGAAACTATCACATAGTTCAATCTTGAAAAGCTGAACAGTATCACTAACTTCAACATACGTGGTTACTGTTACTATTTTTAAGTGGCAATTTGTTTTTACAAATCATGTTTATATCATCACAAATACGATCCTAAGCTCAGCAATATTCCAATATCGTCCAGCGAAAACAAAGACTATTTTATATGTGCACAAACATACTCAGGAAGCAAAGCTAAGTGCTATTGATAAAAATAAAAAAAATAAAAAACCTTCAGTTTCCAGACCTATCATGATCGGAATCAGTCTCTATAGCATTGATCTGATGGAAACTAAGAACCATTATCGGCTGATATTTCTGGAATCAAATACCGGGGAAAGGCTCACCTATAAATCGCTCACGGACTAGCACAGTGTGGTACTGGCGATGTTTGGGCATACCATGCCCGGTTGTATTCTTCAGGCAGCCTTCGCTGGCCTGGTCAGAGTGTCCAAAAACACTGTACAAGGTACATGGACCCTGTCCTTCCAGTTCCAGTCTTTTCACAGTGTTTTCTGGACCAGGCTTTTTTTTTTTTTCTTTTTTAATCAGTGGTAAACTGTTTAGGAAGGTTTTCTTTTTAAAATGGTTCCTAAACTTTTCTAAATGCACCAGAGCCTTAAATAAAATTATTATCTAATTTTTGAAAGTGAAGGAAGTCAAATGAAACAGTTTGTAGGGAGCATTCAGCTTACATTTTCTTCATAAACACAGAAGTAAGCGATTCTCTGCCGATTTTCCAGAAGAGGCCTGCTGAATCTATTTAACTCCTTCCCCAATATGCCGCCAAGAACAAAGTTTACATAATGAGATAATAGTTCAGTAACCAAAAGAAAACCATCTTTAGATTTTCTGAATGTATTACTGGGCCTACAAAGGAAGAGAGAGGCCCTAAATAATAACTACGAAGTAGGTTTTTTCCTAATGCCACTCCAAAGGGGCCGATGGACCGAGCTCAGAACCTATGTATCCAGGGTGCTATCTGACTCAATTTGTACCTGTGGCTCAAACTCTGGCCAGACCCAGACTTTAGAATCTGAGCCTTGTCATTTCAGCCCCAGGGGCTCATTCAAAGTCTCCTTCACTTGAATCACATCCTTAACTCCAGTGCAACGGTGAGCCCAGCCAAAGTGCTGGGAAAGTTTCCTCGGAGTAACTAAAATCCCAGAAGTTTGCAGAAAAACTTTTTACAAAGATCAAAAAGGATGACTCCCCAATATTACTGCAATACTTTAATACCAAAAGTACAATATCAACCCGGCTATGCACTGGAGTCTTCTGAGATTAAATAGGTATTATTATTATTATTACTGTGAGATATAGGAATGATAAAGTTGGCATACAGAAAATGAATCCCCAGGACTACAAGGAAAAAAGAAAATGCTCAGTTTCTGGTCCTCCATGAGGTAGTTCTAGTTAAACCGTTATTTCCAGCTAATTGAAGGCATGTAGTTTAATGTCTGAACTGTTGGGGGGGGGGATTTAGAAAGGAGATCTGAATAAGCACTATTTGAATAAAACACCTGGGGCGAGTCAATGTCCAGAAAAGAGACAGTTAAGCCGCAAGAGGACTCGCCCCCTTTTTTAAAAAATAATTTTAAAAATACTTTGACTTCGTGCCTTTGAGTTTAGGAAAATAAATAATACATCCTCTCCATGAGCCAAGCTGAAGCCGGGAATAAGCCATAGTTTGAAGGGAGTAGAGGGGAGCATGGGGAAGGGGGAGGGGTTGAGAGAGGGGGGGGAAGAGAAGGGGGAGGGGGTGAACAGAGAGTTGGGCAGAAAGAAAAAGTTGCCCGAAGTCCAGAGCAGGCAGTGAAGGTAGAGAGGCGCGGCCGCCACGGCCGCCCCAGCTCAGAGGAGAGAGAGTCTGTCAGGAGAAGAGAAGAGAGGGAGTGAGTCTGAGGCTGGACGCTCCAGGGAGGGCGGCCGGCCGGCAACCCCACAGTCCCACTCCGCGAACAGACAACCGGCTCTTCCTGAGCAACCGGACTGAAATGAACAATCCAAAAGAAACTGACCAAACTCCAGCAGGCAAAACGCAACTTTTTTTAGTGTTGCGTTTTCTCAGCGCACACGCACCGAAAGTTTCATTAAAAAAAAAAAAAAAAATTCTTAAACAGAAAAATAAAAAAGGTAGAGAAGGCGAGGGGACCCAAAGGAGATGAGCACCCCACCTCCCAGCAAGTGACAGGGCCCGCGCGAGTCCACGAAACCTGTTTTCGCGGAGAAGAAGGGTGGACGTCCCCGTAATCCCAGTCTGGGGAGAACGAGCGATCTGGGGACAGCGACAGGAAGGGACCCCTCGCCTCCTGGAAACTCCTCTCCCCTCCTGGCCGCCGCGGGACCAAGATCCCCCAAAAGCAAAGCCAAAAAAGTAGAGTTGGAGGGCTGGGGAGGGAGGATGGGGGTTTGGAGAAGGAAAGGGGGAGCTATTCTTCTCGGAGGCAAAATCCCCCAAATTGCCTACACGCTTCGGGGCGTTGCGATTGCACTGTTTTTCAAAACCCCTTCCGTCCCAGGGGAGAAAGAGGACACCACTTTCCCTGGGTCCTCAGCCCGCATCCCCTGGCCCGAGGATCCGAGTCTGCTCCTAATCCCAAGACCTCCCCGTCCTGATTTCAGCGGGCTAGGAGTGACAGGGGCCCGGACCCGGCTCAACACGTGCGGATCGCCAGAATGCACAGCCCTCTTCTGCACTGGACTCCCCCCCCCCCCATATTAATTAAACCATTAATAAGTGGGCGCCATTAGCCATGTGCCGGTACCCGCACAAATGGCCGTGGAAGGCGAATGCAACCGAATGGAAACAAAGTTACTTTCTTAAAGCTGTATTTCTCCCACACGCAGGGAGAGCGAGCGAGAGGGAGACACGCACAGAGCCAGGCACACCCGGAGGGAGGGAGGAGGGAGGGAGGCAGGCACATGCACAGAGCAGGCAGAACCAGCCCGATTGTCCACCGCCGCCCCCCACCCCCTCCCGCGCCCGCCCCCTCCCCCCGCGCGCCCAACCTCTCCCCCACCCTCCACCCCCCGGCATCCAAACATCTGCTTACCTGGGTGAGACAGAGCGGAGAATACATAACTGCTGTGGGGGCTTGTGTGTGTGTGTGTGTGTGTGTGTGTGTATGTGTGTGTGCGTGTGTGTGCTTGTGTGTGTGAGTGTGTGTGTATGTGTGTGTGTGGTTTGAAGGTGTGCGTGTGTGTGTGAAAAAAGAGAAAAGAGAGGGAGAGAGAGAAAGAGAGGAGGAGGAGGAGGAGGGGAGGAGGAGGAGGAGGAGGAGGAGGAGGAAGGGGGGAGGGAGAGGAGAAAAAAAAAATCAAGCCCGCTTCTTGCTTTCACATTTCCAACTCTGCTCAAACTGCAGCTAGCGCTCGCTCACTGCCGCTCCATGGGCTGAACTTTCACCCCGCCTAGAGTTTCCCTACACTGCGCTAGGCAGGGCTACTGTACCCAGGCGTTAAAGGCATAGTGCACACTTCCCCCCCACCCCCACCCCCTCGGCTTTTTTTTTTTTTTCTTTCCCGCGTCAGCCCACAGGCTCCTCCAGTCCCCGGGAGCCAGCCAGAGCTGTTGGTCTCCTCCTCCTCCTCCTCCTCCTCCTCCTCCTCCTCCTCCTCCTCCTCCTCCTCCTCCTCCTCCTCCTCCACCACCAACACCAACACCACCACCACCAGCACCTCCTCCTCCTCCACCACCACCTCTTCCTCCACCACCACCAGCACCTCCACCACCAGCACCTCCTCCCCCTCCCCCTCCCCCTCCTCCTTCTCCGCTGCCGCCGCCGCTGCTCTGCGCCTCCCAGCCACAGCCACCACCGCCACCCGCCGCCGCCACCGCCACCGCCGCTACCGCCGCCGCTGCCGCCGCCGCCGCCGCCCCAGCAGAGCGGAGCAGAGCCAGAGCTGAGCCTAGCAGCTCGCTGGCTGCTGCCGATGGGGGGTGGGGAGAAGAGGGAAGGGGGGAGGGCTGGGGAGGGGACGGGAGGGGAGGGGGGGCGGCTGCAGTGCAGATCGACTAGCCCTCCCTCCCTCTCCTCTTCCTCTCCCTCCTCCTCCTCTTTCTTCTCTTTTCTTCTCCTTCTCCTTCTCCTTCTTCTTCTCCTTCTCCTCCTCCTCCTCCTCCTCCTCCTCCTCTTCCTCTCTCTGTCACTGTATGTATCTGTACATTTGTATATTACAAGGGAACGCAGTGTGCACACACACACACACACACACACACACACACACACATACCGTTGCTTCTCCCCGGGCACCGAGAGCGGCCACAAGAGGTGCTTAAGCAAACTAAACTAGTTTTCAACATCCCCAGTCACCCGGTCAGCCGCAGAGCTTTAAGGAACACGCGGGAGCAACTTTCTCCGCTTCACGAACACCACAGGACGACTTGCGTGTGTATCCGCGCATTGTGTGCATTCCAGTATTCCATACTAGCAAATATACGTGTGTATTATACACATACACACACACACACACATTAACAGTGTCTTGTCTACTGTCCTCCCTCCAACTACAACTGAAAGCTTTGGGGGAAATCTCCTGGGATCCGACCCTCGCTGGGGGCAGTGATTGATCGTGCTAGTTAATTATGCACTGGGACCCTGAAAACTTTCCACAGGCTCCTGCCCTACTTATCTCTTTCCTCAGCTGGGGAAGGTGACTATTTCAGAAGAACCCTTCATCTCAAGGCCAAAGTGAGAGGGTAGGAAAAGGGAGGGGAGGGAGGAAGGGGGTGGCGCTGAAGAAAAGTAGTATAGGATTAATAAATGTCCTGGTCCTGTGAAACTGGTGGGCTTGAGCCCAGAGGAGACACCCAAAAAGTTCTACCAAGCTCAGAAACAACTACGTATATTTTTTTACCCACCTGGTACATTTTTAAAGGAAGGGGAGTGAAAGTACAGGATGGAAGGAGGGGCTGTCTTAATAGAGGATGCTAGTATGGCCCCTAAAGTGTGTTTAGAGATAGTCATTTAAAATTCAAAAGTGATATTTCTTGAAAATGAATTTTCCTATAACTCTGATCTAATTCCAGGGATGTCTTACCCAGTTTTTCTTCCTTCCCTACCCCCCCCCCCATACTTATAACAGCTAGGAGTTTCCTGCTATGATTTTAGATCATGAAGGTATTGTTCTGGCAGGGAGAAAAGTTGTTTTTTGTTTGTTTTTTTTAGTTTGGAAAGGTGCCAATAAGCTAGTTTTCCTAGTTGATTTTTTTTAAAAAAATCTCTCCAGCCTCGAACATTAGCATATCCCCTGGATAAAAAAAGGGGAATCTCTTTCCTCCTCCTTCCCATCTCTTTTCCTTTCTTCCAAATCTGCAACCATGTACTCAAAACATTAATAAGCTCACTCCAAGGGAAAAGGAAGAAAGGATCATGCTGGAAGGCTCTGGCACAGGACAGCCTTCAAACTGGACAAAGCTCCAAGGTGCCTGAAAGTAGCTTAAGATGCTGTTAAAAAAAAAAAAAGTCCAGGGGGCAACCCACTTGAGTACACACAATGCTGTGGTTCAAGCCCCCTCTCATTGTGATCTAAAAAGAAGCGATGTGCTACTGGAAAAGATAAGGCATACATACGAAGTCTTCTAAAATATTCAGCATCTGTCTAAAGTTATTTCCAGGGCTTACTCTTCAGTTAGTTTATGGTTCCCCAAAATGCTAGTGAGTCCATCTCTATCCTGCCTTCCTCCCCAGAAACCTTGAGAAAAGCCAGGATTATTAGGGGGAGGGGAGACACCGGTAATGACTTCAAGGAATCCGATTTCATCAGTCAATGGCAAAGTCTTAGCCATTGGTCCTAACCCAGACAAACGGGGAGGGGGAGAGACTCAGAGACAGAGAGAGCCATCTCTATTGGGACTGGGGACTTCAGTGAACTCCAAGATTCCTCGTTCCTCGATACGAGTTTCTGGCTGACAGTCCTGACATGTAACTGAGGCATAGCGAGAAGTTACTGTTGTGAGAGAGAGAGAGAGAGAGACACTGGGAAGCCCTCTTCTAAATGCCGATTACAATCTTGCTTTTCATATTGTGGAAGATAACATTTCACATCTGCTTCTGTCCCTTTTGGCTTCTAATCTGCAAAGATTTATACAGTAGGACACTGGTGGGAAGGGAAAGGAATAAAGGGAAACCGCTGGCACCCTGCCCTGGCTTTTATAAAAATAAAAGGAGAAAGAGAAGAAAAGTTAATGCTGATATTTTCTGCTTTCAAAACTGCGTTTGTTGCAGCGGGCAGGCAGACCCGCAATTTCCAGCTTTCTGCGGTTAGCAGTATTATCATAAGGAACTTTTGGCGCCCTTAGTAAGACTTTTGGATATGGGACGGTTGTTTGCGCCCTCTAGGCAAGGGTTGAATCCCAAGCCCTTCCACATCCGCTCTTTCCTTCTATCTCCCTCGCTCACTCTCTGCCTCCCCGGGGCTTGCCTCCCTCCTTTTTCCCCTCCCTCCAGAAAAAAACGTCGAGCTCCAAGCCGGGAGGGGACGCCTGCCTCCGGGAGAACAGAATTCCGACAAATAGTTACAGTTGCAGAATGCCTTCTCCTGCCTGGTAACTTTCTCTCCTACCAGCCCAGAGTCAAACGTTCACAAAGAAACAATTAGATGTTAGATACAGGCTATTGCCAACTCTCCCCTCTGCCCAAGTTGCAAAGTTAAAGCAGTCAGACTGTGTATTTTTTAAAGGGTATATTTTGAAGGGGTGGAAGGAGGGCGCAGGAAGAGGGGGAGCGGAGAGAGGAGGGAGGAAGCTTGACCGTAGACAACATAGGTGAAGTCCTACCTAGGCTGAGTACGGTACAATTACATAAGTAATTCATTGTTAGGAAGGATAACTTCCCCAACCCGCCCCCCCCCCAATACCCATTGGAAACAACCACTTCGATCATTTATTTTGCAAGTACTAGGAAGCTGCCTTGAAATGGGATTGTCTGTGAGCGAAGGAGGCTCCTGCCATGATCTCTGCTATCCATATTCTTGCTGGCAGGCTGCCCGGCGTTGCATTTGCTATGTTTTATTTGCAGAAACGCTACCTTGCCAGCCTGAGTGAAATCCTCTTAGATATATAAATTACGTCAATAAGGTTTCACTTATGCGTCCATCTCAAATACCTTTCATTTCAAAGGTACTTAATGGACAGATCTTATTAATATGGTTTAGGCTTTAATACCCGAAGCACTGAAGTTCAAAGTGGAATAAAGGTGACCACCATTACAACACCAACCAGAAAACAAACCTACTTATGAAGCTACACTTACGTTCACGCCCCCCCCCCCCCCCGCTTCCCCACTGAGCCATAGGCTGGTTGGTGGTCTATGTGCCAGACGCATTTGAATACCTGCACGTAAAAATCCGTGATGCTAAAGTGGGCAACAGCCTGGGCTGACTGTCAAACCTGATTTCCAAACTGAAAAGCCTATGCACTCTATTGCTTAGCTAGGAATTTAACTCAAAGAGGGGAAAGAGCTCATATGATTTTCCTTTCACTTCCCAACAGGAAGAGGTTTCTACACAGATCACAGGGAGGGTGGGGGTGGGGAGAAAAGGAGAGAGAGAGAGAGAATTTAGTCAAAGGCTGCCAGTTACGGACTCTCATACAAGCTGTTGCAGTTGGTTTCTGCTGGACTGGTGTCAGGCACTTGTCGCAGGGCTGGACTCCGGCAGCCAGCGAGCCATTCACAGTCAACTTCCACACTCGTCCCCTTCACAAGGGAGTTGGTAGCAGCTCGGGGAGAGATATGGCAAAAGGTTCTTTTCCCTTGCTTCTTTTATTTACAATTGACCATAGAGGGAAACATTAGAGTTAAGATCGAGGGGCGGGGTGGAGGGGAAGCCTGGTCCTGGCCCTCTCTTCCCCTCTTCCTCCCAAAGCGACTAAACAGCTGTCATTCCACCTGGGAAACAGCCGAGGCCAACAACCTCGCTCCCCCTCCCTTAGGCCCCTTGCTTACAATTTGGCAACTCAGGGGTGAGCAAAGCAAGAGTTTCAGAGACAGTTAAGACGACAGACTTTCAACCAAAGAACTTTCCGAGCCAGCGCCTGAAGCCCAAGGGTGCGTGGGCCACCGCAGCATACAAGGCTAGCCGATTGTAACTGACTGGGACTCAATCAGCTCTGCAGCCCAGACACCTCCCCTAGCAGGGCCAGGATACTTCTGTTTTAAGGGTTTG